AATCATAGGCCTATTCTTTCACCATCATTACACATTGAGGCCCTTCTTTTAGGTAAAGCGATCTATCTTAAATTTTCTTTCTCAAGTTTGGGACTATTATGTTTTTAAATAACTTAGAAGGCAAGCACAAGCTTAATCCCTAACAAATGCGCGCGAAGCGCGTGAAAAATGTTTGTGTTTTTAATTCTAATTTCGTCGGAATTGATCAAAACTCCCTAAATGTGCAATTTTTAGAGGAAATTGGCCTACCTCAACAAGAAATGCTCTTATGTTATATATGGCCACACTCGTTTTTTTAAACTGAATGTAAGCATTTTCCTTATGGCTTTATTACAAACATATTCTTTCAACATCATCACACATTGAGGCCTTTCTTTTAGGTAAAACGATCTATCTTAAATTTTCTTTCTTGAGTTTGGGACTATGTGTTATAACCTAGAAGGCAAAGAAGAGCAAGCACAAGTTTTAACATGAAAAAATGCGCGCGTAGCGCGCGAAAAGTTTTTGTTTTAAAAAAATTCTAATTTCGTCGGAATTTATCAAAACTCCCTAAAATGTGCAATTTTTAGAGGAAATTGGCCTACCTCAACAAAATATGCGATTTAAAATTTGAGATTTTCAGGAACTTTCCCGGGTGAAAAGGGCATTCAATAGGGAAAGATTTTCCACTGATGGATATTTTCCCCTTGTCCCCGGTGGTTACGCCACTACGGAGAATACCTGGCGACTTAGATCAAATGCGATATGGACACTTTTTGAAGTGGAGAAGGGGTTGCAGGCCGGGGTATTGTGATATCTATTCATTATATCTTCCTTTTTATTCTTGTCTTTATTTTTCTCTTCTCCTTTTATTTTCCTTTTTCTTTCCCCTTCTTTCTCTCTCCCTCCCTCTCCCCTCTTTCTTTTCTCTTCTTACCCAGCCCGGTATGACGGCTTGGTCAGCCCGATAAAAACCGACAGTCTGCCCCCCGTCCCCCTGCCTGTTACGCCACTGCTTATAAGATGAATGGGAATATGAATCATGCAGATCTGGAATCAAATCTAGGTGGTGGGGTCAACATTCCTCCCCCGGGAAAATTTTGATTTCTAGATGGCGGGAAATGACCTTTCTCGACTTTTTGAGCTAGGTGTCTAATGACTTTGTTCTTCAAAATTCAAGGTTTTCCCCCTCATGATCGAAAACGGTAAGGTAAACTTTCTCATTACAGTAAATAGGCCTGTTATGTGTGTATACATACCGGTACATTAAAAAAAAAATTGAGTAGTTGCATACGATTTTTTTCCATGAGATGAATCCCAAAAAGAAAGGAGGGTCTGGGGTTCTTCCCCAGGAAAATTTTGATTCCTAGAAGGCGGGAAATGAGCTTTCCCGACTTCTGAGGTGTCTTTTAAAGTCATTAAAACATACTTCAGAAGTCGGGAAATCTCCTTGTCCACCATTTATAAATCAACATTTTCCCGGGAAGAACTCGACCTCCCTCTCTCTGGGTTCATTGATTTATTATAATAATTTTCAAGAGGGGAACACCTTGAATTTTGAAGAACATAAAAGTAATTAAGTTCTTCAAAATTCAAGATTTTCCACTCTTGAAAACGGTCAGATAATTTTTTCCCATTGTTATTACAGTAAATAGGCCTTATGTGTGTATACATACATAAAAAAGATTGAGTAAGTTGCATACGTAGTTTTTCCATGAATCGATAAATCCCGAAAAGAAGGGTGGGTCCTGTGGTTCTTCCCAGGGAAAATTTTGATTCCTAGGTGGCGGGAAATGAGCTTTCCCAACATTTGAAGTGTGTTTTAATGAATTTTATGTTATTCAAAATTCGAATTTTCTAATAGCAAAAAAAAAAAAAAAAAAATCAGCTCAAGGGTCATGAAAAGGTAGGTCTAGAATTCTTTTGTTTTTGCCATTTTTTTTGTTGCCCAAGGGAGGGGTCAGGACCAATGAACCCCCCTCCCCCAGATCCGCCAATATGAATTGCGAGAAAATGTAACTCGGTCGGGTACTGGATAAACATTCTCTTTCCCATCCTTCTCCTC